TTTTTTTTTTTATAAGAAAAACAAAGGCGTCATTTGGGTGGGGACAACTAGTTATTTTCCCCAGTCTACATTTTCATGTACATATTGAGTACATATTGGGGTCGTATAGTGTTAAATCGTCATATTAGCAATACACAAAATATCAAGAGTGTGGGGCAGCAGACATACTTTACCCGCTCATCTATGCACATGTGTATATTATTATAAAAAAAATGACACTTACTCATATGATTGGCTTTATCGGATGGTATTTCCACATTAATTGGATTTGATTTGTTTTCAGTAGATATCTCGACGTTTGACATGTCAGGAGTTTTATTCTTACGATTTAAATTAAGAGTATAAGAATTATTTACTTTGTCTTCATATTTATTTGTTAGTCTAAGTTTTTTACGTAAATCGTTAACGTCGTCGAGATGAGCTCTCTTCTTTGTTGGAAACATCTTGGGAATTTCAGACTTGTGAATCCTTGAATCATCGTCTTCATCAAATGTTAAAAGATCTTTATAAAATTTTATAATTTTACGTTTATTTGGACGTTTGCCAACATAATAAGAATTTGAACGTATATTGACGAGAATGGAATTTGATTTTCTATGTCCAGTTTTTAGATGGCTTATAGTCTTTTTGGTTTTGTTTTTCATGTTTAACTTTTCGTGCAGAGATATAAATTAAATATCTGACTACAAAAAATCAAATATTAAAGAGGTTTTGGGCAACTTTTGTAGGGTTTTCGGGTTTAAGAAAATTTCCGTGTCCCATCTAAATCGCCCATGACTGTTAAAAAATATTAACTTAAACAATATAAATTTGTAGTCAAGGAAACAAAAAAAAAATTTATATAAAAACAAATAAATTGGAATAGATAATCGCTTTTACATTATGTAAAACGAAATATACATTGGCCATTCAAACTTTTAGCCAGAAAAATTAAAATTAAATTTATTGTTGTAAAAGTTTGTAAAATTTCCATTTTCTTCATACAAATTTTTTTTATTGTTGCATATTATATTTTTATAATTGTATTTGAGATATTGAAATACAAAAATGTGTAAATCGACATAAATAAGTTTCAAAAATTTTAAGGTAGACAAATTAGTTATAAACTCACGTGAAATTAACAAAATATATTTATTAAATGAATATTTTTTTTTAAATAATGATTAATTGTCAGTATTATCAGTCATTCTAATTTGATCAGATATTGATTCTTGTTCTAAACCATTTAATTTCTTGTAAAATAAAAATTATACTAGAATTCAAAATTTTTTTTTAAGATGTAATTTGCAATTTATCAGTCATGGAGTATTTTTTATGTTGGTATGGACCGTTAGTATTTTATTATAAAAAAAATGTATTTTCCATAATTCGAGTAAAAAGATTTTAGTTTTGGCAATTTAACTTTTCTTAACTCTAAATGGTAACTTGATAACTTTATTTTTATCACTAAAATAATCCAGGATAACGTTATTTTTATATAACAATATGTGTTATTCAATGAATAATAAAATTTGTCTGAGTTATATAAAAAAATTATTTTATAAATTTAATTTACATTTATGCAAATTAGTAAAATTGATTTCAATTGCTACACTTTTAATAGTGTAAACATTATGATACGATCACTGACTGATAAAGTTTGAACGAATGTTTCGATGACTTATGATTTCAGGCGTTCCGTATAGGCAAGTTAACTTTCAAGTCCTCGGCAAGTGACGTAAGACGCGCACTGTATTTACCAATCGAGAAAAATTGTGAAACGGTACTAGGGACTCAGGAGGAAAGCAATGACGGTGGGCAATTTGATTTCCGAGACTCGGTAATTTACAAAAAGTTGAAAAAATAGTACCAGGAATTCAGAAGGTGTACACAATTTTTAAGATTACCTTTTTCGATGGCATAGCGTAACATAGTCTCGCTGACTTTCGCCAACGGTCACATGGTGCAATGCTGTGCGTCTAACAGTTAAAGACAACGGCGTAGCGCAATGTCTGTCCATCATTCGAAACGGTTTATGTGTACAACGTCAGGGTGGCACGCGTGCCTCTTCGACACACACATTAACCGTACAAAAGTGCACTACTCCACCAATTTCACGTTTCCTGTATGATGATATGTTCTTGTATCATCGCCTGTATGTCGAAGACCAAGTTATACAATTATAAGCGTTCACCGAATAGCGTTGACCATACTATTTTACATTCTACATACATATTGAAACCTCAGGTATTTTCCTTTCGTTTTATATCATTTTTTTTGAAAATTTAACACTTATTCTGCTGACGGAGGGGATTTAAAATAGCACTTTTTTACAAAAACTAACTTTTTCAACTTAATTTTTGAAAATGTTCCGGAAATACTGCGTCCTTTAAACATATATCAAATTAAAGCTTATTTTATGTACTATAAAATGAAAAAAAAAATTTGTCCCGACGACCTATCTTCTATGCGCAAATGGCTACCGTATTCAAAAATATGCTATTTTTCTATTAAAATTCTAGGTTTTGTATTTTATTTTATTTTAAAATATCTTAAAAGGGGAATACATTGACTTTCATGAATATTATATAATTTAATTGACATAGAATAAAGTTCATAAGACATAAGAAATTAAACTTATTAAATATTTTTTACTTTTTTAAATTTGAAAAAGTAATTTTTAAATTTGATTCAGCTTAAATAGCTAATTTTAACTAACAGTTGCTGAATCGGTAACACTTGTGTCTTACATGCCTAGGGTACGAGGTTCAAATCTGTCCGTAGGCAATAAAATTTTGCATTTTTTTTGAGTTAAAATAAAATTTTCAAATCATTTGATATTTATCTCATTTAGATTCAATAACTTCAATAAATATAAAGAATCCTATCACTATAGTCTCCCCTCGTGAGAAGAAATTTATATTCATGTTAATATTATTTTACTGTGTAGTTTTTTTTGTCGATACGATTTATTTTGCCAACCCTCCATAGACCTACTTTTTTCAACGATACGTCAAATTATTATAATTCGTATTTAGTTTAAGTTATTACTCTTAAAAATCGAAAAAATATTCCTTATTCAAATAAAAAGTAGCTTAACCAGCTTTTTCAATACAAAAAATTAAAATCATTAATTTCTAATATTCTTAAAGTATTTACTGTCGAATTAGATTTGATATGATAAAAGTATTCAATTACAAAAATATACAATTTTACTTTGTAATTTATTAATTTTTTAACTTTATTTGTGTGTGCAAATACCAGTCTATAATATTCCAGATTTTTTTGTAATATGTTGCTATATAAATCATAAATTTAAAAAAAAAATGATTTTTAGTTTCACGTGAATTTAACAATGGATTTTTACAATTATAATCAAATTTTTTAATACGCTCAATTGAGTAAATCTTTTTAACAACTTTGTTTTGATTGGTTCATTTAGTTAAAGCAAATCATTAAAATTAATTAAGTTCTGAATATTTCAATTGCAGAATCTTTTTAAATACCAAAAATTACTTAGAATTGATTATTATGATTCTATTTAAGTGTTCTATTACGAAAAAAATGCAACAAAATAATGAGTTTTTCTGATAAACATACTGTAAATAGTAATTATAAAATTTCCTGATTGCGTATTAGTCTTAAAAATAGCATAGTTTTAATTCTCATAAAATTTTCTATTTAATGATGTCAATTTCAAATTTGTAATTGAGCTAAAAGTTATGGTAACATATTCAATTTTTTTTACTATAAACTTTCACAAATCTTTATCAAAAATTTTTCATCAACTTTAAAGAACCAAAAAAATAGGTTAAGAATGAAAATTTGGACTGATTATTTTTGACATATTAAAAATCAAATCAGTAATAATTTGAAAACAAATTTTTTTTTCTTTTAATTACTATTTTATATGTAATTAGTGATAATATAAAAAATTAGAACTGATAGAAAAAGTTTAATTGCAGATTTGAAATCAACGCGAAAATTTGATTTAGAAATGTATATTTTTGCTTCTGATGAAAGTTCCTTGAAGTCCAGTGCATTCATTTATAGTAACAGTTTTTATTGAAAATTATTGTATCAAGCCCTTTAAATTTTTATACACGTAAAAGTAAAGCAAAATATAACTTCTTTATTATTTTTATAATTTCTACGTTTAAATTACAATATTAAATTATTGAATATCAATTTCATACTAAATTTAATAATTATAATTCATATATTATATTTTAAAATCAAAGAACTACTAATCAGGATATCATCAAAGAAATAAGAGTTGATGTTGCTTTTGGAATAATCCACCAATTTCTCTTAATGAAACACTACCTACAGATTTGCATTGAAGCGTTTCTTATGATAGTGATTTTAATAACTGTCAGATATCATCTATACTTGTCTCATCTATGCCTCGTCTACACTGTGCCTCAACCCCACTGTGCTACCGTTTTTTTTTTATAAAACATCATGTTTTTTTATTTAATATAATATAATTAAAAAAAGTATGAAGTAGTATAATTTATTTGTTTTTCATTTTATAAATTGTTGATTCAGTAAATAAATTATACAAATTTCATCATTAATCAATCCATGTTCAAATCATAAGTTTATGCTACAATGTAGCATAAACTAAAAAACAAGTAATTGACACAGATATACTTGTAATAAAAAGATAATTATAAAAATATATTATCATGTTTGAAGTATTCTTAGCTATTGAAGATCAAGCAGATAAAAATATGATAAAATAGATAAAGTTAAAAAAGAACTTTTACAAATCAAAGACTATTAATTATAAAATAATATAAAAAAACATTCATCACTTATTTAGAAGGTAAACATTATATTACATAAAATATAAAAATAACAAACAAATTGTAGACTATTATTTACATTAAAAATTTTTCAATTATGAAAATTTAATTAATTGATTTAAATACAAAATATTTTTATGTCAAAGAAATTAATGAACAACAATAACATTCTTTTCAAATATCCGAGAAGTAAAATTCTGAATACTAAGTAGTATTATGCTTAATAATCAGTATTTAGATTTCCTTAATGATTTTTTTTAAATATTTTTCTTTTCTTCTTTTTCTAAGATACAGATTAAAAATTAAGTTTTAATAAATTTTAAAGATTTAGTATTAAGCTAAACTACAATTTTTAATAATAAAATGAAAGATTGCCTTACCCCAATACTGATTTTGAATGAAAATACCAACAAACAGGCACATTGTGTAAGAAAAAAGTAATGTTATCATTATTGCAATTGATATTGGTAAACTAAACATTCCAAACAATGGATATACCCAACGACCTTTTTCCACGTAAGTTTCCAAAAACCTAAAAAAATCCTTTTTTTAATTTGCTTAACAAAATTAAAACAGCTACTCTTACACTATAGCATAAGTCAATTCAAATGCACCAAGAACTGATAGTAATATTTTAGTAGAAAAAAATAAATGTTTGGTCGTAAATAATTCACAAATTCCTAGTAGTAAGATAACAGTATGCATTCCATGGTTTTGCCAGTATGGTAAGACATCATCAATTACTTTTGGGTAAACAATCTCACGATCTATTCCATATAAAATCCAAAACGAGGTTGACACAAACTAAAAGTAAATTAAAAAGTACATAAAAACATTTATAAAAGCAATCTGAACAAATATTGTTATTAGTAGAAGTACATTTAAAGGTATAGCTAAAAGTTTTCATACATTTTTTTAATTAAGAAATTATTGAAACATTTATGGGTATAAAAACATACATAAATACATAAAATATATCTATTTGAATATTAATATTTATGAATGTAGTACAATTTTAGTAAAATATACAACTATAAAATACATAGAACTTAGACTATTAATACATATTTATTTAAAAAAAAAAAAAAACGAATTATAATTATTTGCAATAAAAAGGGCCTTAATTGTTCATTTTTTTTAAAACATAAATTGATTTCAAAACAATAGTAATAAAAATAATTTTGACTGTGCATATTTTGGGGCGTATGAATGTATTTAATATATAGTTGATTTTTTGGAGTGTATATTTTTTCCCATAAAATTAAAGAAAATCTTTTTTGAACAAAGGTTATAAAAATATATACATAAACAAATAAATTCTTAAATAATTTCTTTTTTTTTTGTCTTATCCAAATATGTTTACAAAATCTTAGTATTTTGTAGTTTAATAGTAGTATATTCTTATGTAATATTGAACGGGTTTTATGAATTTTAAATAATTCAATAAAAAAAATGTTATAGCACTATCAATATTAACCACTACTGAATCAATCTTATGTATGGCTATCAATTAATTTATTAAAACATTTTTAAAAACTCTTAATCTACCTAAGGAGATGAATTGAAATGGTTTATTTTATTAAATAAAATAAATTGTATTATAATAAAGATCATTTTCAATGTTATATATATTGGTCGACAATATATAATTAATTTGTAAATCTCAGTTTATAAATTAGCTCCACAAAAATGTAGCAGTTATATGCATTGTTACACAAAATGTATTTTTCAAAGACAAAAAAATTAAATTTAACCCAGTTTTTAATACATATTTGCATGCTTTTTTTTTAGCTTTTTAGTACATGAAATTATGAGCCCTGGTAATGAATGTATGCCTCACATACCTGTAAGATATTACTCATGTAATATATACATAGATATACAAAAGTTACATTCATGTTTGAAATACATGTATGGACTTAAAAAGTACAAATATACTTGTACTTGAATTTGATTGTCTAATAACTGATGATTGCAAATTAGCAATACTTACGATGCTAGTTGGCAATATTAATGCTGCGAAGCTTCCAGATATCAGCATTTGAATTTTAGAACCAATCTTAAGCCAATTAGGTCCATTGAGAATTTTCATAATATCATGAAGTAAACACCCAATAAAATACAATGTTTGCATAAACTGAAATTATAAATTCAATTTAAATTTATTCTTTGTAATAAAATTTAATGATAAGTATGGGGGGTAATGGGGCTAAATGCCCTAAAGTGTCAGAAAAATATGAATACACTTTTTGAATGAATATTGGTTTTTATTATTAGGCATCTATAGTTCAAGGAGGGTCTCCCAGGATTCTGCCCAAAGAAAAATCACAGCATATTTTGCTATTATAAAAATCTAAAATCATACTTGTTATACAATAGAATATATTCGCTATAGACATAAGTGTAATCATTTTTTTCATAAATTATACAACTCTGAGGCACTTGTAGCTGTGTACAGCTATGAGCTGTGGAGTCAAAAAGTTGTAATCGACCAGTCATTTTCTTAATTAGATCTTATTTTATTTTATTAACTAGTTTAATTTAAGGAAATAAAGTTGACACCCTTAGAATGTATAAGGGATGAATTAAACAAATACTTTATAACAGATAAATAGAAACACACACATATGTAACTAACAAAAATCCCAAAAATTAAAAAAAAAAATTATTATATTAAGAGAAATTGAGTAGCTAGCGTTAAAAGAATCATACTGTATTGTAATAGTTCCTATAAAATACTTATCTGTTTAAAGTTGTGATTGAAAAATTACTTACTAAGTTCCAATTTGTCAAAAAACGATATCCCATTTCGTTCACGTCACGATACTTGGGATTCCAATTTTTCGAATTTCCATTACCAGCTTTCAAAAATTGATCCCAGAAAAAATAATACCACCCACACGCGACAACGTGCAATAATAGTGGGTAAATAGCTAACATTTTCTAAACCTAAAAGTAATAAGTAAATTGTATGAAATAATTTTACGTAAATATATATATATATTTTAATAAAAACTAGTTATGCACAAATGAATTGCCGATGCTTAATATAATTAAATCTTGGAACCCGTTTACAAAATATCGACTATTGAATTGATAATAATTGTTTTTATTAATTTTTAATATCAATAATAATTAATTTATTAAATTAAATAGAATAATTACTATAATTAATGTGAATTAAGGAGACCAATCCTTAAGAATAGGTTTCAAAAAGTAAAAATTATAGATAAAATACCAACTATTGTTCATTATTGTTAAATGCTTTTTAATCGAAACAAAAAATGTCTTCATAATCGCTTATATTAGCTATATATGTTATATATACATCGCTAATATGTAAAATATTTGGGTCCAAACTTCATTTATTTATTCATCGCTATTTTTCAACAAATGCTAATTTAAATAACAAAGGTTAACATTTTTAAGGTTAATTATACCACAATAACACATTCCAAGTTACTAAATCATATCTTTGATAAATGCTGCTCCCTTAGCATAACAAAAGATTGTATAATTTATTAAAAAAACTCGACACTTTTATAGTATACAATAAAAAATGTATAATTAACGTAGTATAACTTTTGAGTAGATAATAATCAGGTCAATGATCTTTAGTAACTTATAGTTTTATCTATTTAATTGTTTATTTATATTTAAATTTATTTCGATTAAACATACGATATTTAAGTAATAAGAATATCATAAAAAAATGTGTTTTTAAATTATATAAAATCTGTACAGAATCCAATTGTAATTAATATTATATACCGACTTTCACTAAAGTATTACTAAAAAATAATTCAAAAATAATTTGTACATAGTCAGCTTATTACTTATACTCTTATTTTATTATATACCTATATGTATGACCTATGTTAGTTAGGAATACCCTCTAAAATAATAATAAGAAAAATGTTTACTGCTAAAGCTTAAAATCATGACCATTTCTAAAAAAATTGTTATGTCGATATATTTTAGTTTCAATATTTTTAATGCATCTGTAATAACAAATCGTAGCCGGTTTACTGAAATACACGCAAATTCAAATCAAGGAAGACATTTTCTGTTCATATATTAAGTGGAGAACATAAAACTCCGATTTTACTATATTGTTTAATTAATTCATTTGGAAATCCCTTAGTCCTTCTTTATCATAACAACTGCAGCAGTTTATTTTAAAAATTATTATCCTTGTAAGACAAGAAAATGTAAAATAATTATAAAACTAAAAGTCACGTATTTATTAATAAGCACGGATTGTCTGAATCAAATAATTATGTGAACAAGGTCATTGTATGATCTATAAACAAAACATTAATGTTGTTTAGGTCATTCTAACTTAATTTAACTAACTTAAGGTTGTAATTAAATGGATGAGTTAAATTTTCATGACAATTAAAAAATTATCCTAATAAAATTAATATAAACAACTAAATTAACATAATAAATAGTTCAAGGAGAGTAACTTTTAAAATAAGTAATTTAAACTCAAAACTTTGAAAACATTAACTTAGTAGTACATAATAATTGTTTCATAAATATATTATATATACGAATGAAAATGGTTTTGTTTTTTAGTATAATAGACATGCTGAGAATAGATAGAAAATTTATGAATAATAAATGAAAGTAGTACGTCATTCTAATAACCTTAATTATTTAATTTTTTTAATCGCAACGATATTTTGGTGTCTGAGAATTCCAAATATTTTAACTAATGTAATTCATTTAGATAAATATTGTTTTTAATTTTAAAATAATATTACTAAAAATAATTTTTTAGGTGAAATGTTAAAAATGTATATGTATTTCATAAAAAATTTTAAAAATTAAATATCTTTATATTGATTGTAACTCTAAATATTAGATTACGATATTTCATCTTAATTATATATTAATTACATAATAATTCATATATTAAATACAGATTTTTTATTTTCGAGTAAAAGTAATAAGTTGAAGAGTTATAAGTATCAAATTGTGTTAGATACTTTTTTACAGAAGCATGAATTATTAATCACAAATAAAACACGATGATACACTCCTAATGATTTCAATAGAGAAAAGTGTAAGTATACTTATCATAATAAATTTATCTCAACGAGTTCAAAAGATTGTAAAAGAAAGTTTAGATTATTAATATAATAGCATAATTTAATTCGAGATCATTCCACTCAGTAATTCATTTATTGAAAGATAACATAAATTATTATGATAATCAGTTTACATTCGGATGCAAAACTGCGATCCTAATAAAAGTTAGAATTGATATATTTACCTGCTAGTTGTTGAGAGGCAGGTGATAGGAACCGGCGCGACTGTGTCGACCGGCGTCGTCGACTAACGTCGAGTAGTTGCACGTTACTACAACAGTTCTTACATACCACAACAAGTAATGTAGGTACTTGGTATATCGCGTATGATAAACTAGGCGGGGAAAACATGTTTTGTTTTCTATTTCTACACAATGTTTAGATGATGATGGGTTATTTGGATTCCAAACGCTCTTTGGTCATCTTGTCGAGAACGTGATGTAAAAAACTAAAACAACTCAAGTGGTTATCAATAACATGCACAAATATTACTGTATCACAACCGAGTGATTCTTCAATGAAAATTAAGTAAAAGAAAAATTATAAATAGCTATGACTCATAAATATTTCAAGTTACGTTTCGGAAAGATAAAAAATATGAAGTGAAGGTGTCAATTCTTGATTACGCATTTTTTTTATCATAGGTGAAATAAGAGGGACTTTTTGTGACTTGCTACCTTATTGATTAGAATAATCGCACAAAAATCAGAGAAATCATAAATGTAATAATAGGACTTGAGATCTATTTCATAATTAATAAAAATTAAAAACGGAAAATATGAAAATTCATTTATAAGTTTAAAATTCAAAATAAATTTATTAAAAAATATATGATTTGTAAAATTGTTATCAAAGTTGAAATAATTTGAACATCGATTTTCAAAGTTTAAATGAAATCAAAATAAATAGGACATGAATAAGAGGGTCCAGATCCCTTGGAACCCGGGTTTTTATAATAGATGTTGAAAACATAAGTAACGCAGATTAAAATGTCCCAGAAGACCAATGTTAATTTTTAAATCATTGGTATTTTAAACACGTTTAAAACATAACAACTTTTTATAGAATCCCTAATTTGCAAGATAGTAATATTTATGACAATAGTATAAAATTTATTATCATTATTATTATTATAATATATTTAATTATAATAATATGTTATCAGAATTTAATTAACCAGTTTTTTTTGTGAAATTTTTAAGCAAAATAAAAATGACCACTTAAAACAGATTATAATTTTAATTTTGAACTAAGAGACTTTGTCGCCAAGTACCCCATGTTCCATTTTTTCTGTTAGGCGACATAGAAGTCCTTTTAAAAGATACCTATCGCATAATTTTGATTTTAAATGTATTATTTGGATATATAGCAAAACGAAAATTATCTAAGCGCTTTATTATTCATACCGCAATAACGAATACTAACGGTTATTCTGTTTTTATGAAATACTATACACAATAATATGAGGCACCTTAAACCATAAGTTCAAAATACGCCATAGCATTCGTGTGGTATATTCAGAATCTGTGGGTATTTAACAAAAAATATTTATTTATGCAATTTCATAATTATAATGCCACGTGGAAGGGATTAGAATATTTACAAAAAAAAAATATAAATGTAGTAAGTAGTGATGGGCATTTTCGAATATTTTAAACTATCGAATAGTATTCTATAGTTTTAAAAAACTATTCGAATTATTTTTATACAACCGAATAGTGTGTTTTTTAGCATAAACTATCGAATAATTTTAAAAACTGTCGAATAGTTTTTAAAACTATTAGAATAAACTATCGAATAGTTTAAAAACTATTCAAATATATTCTGTAACTATCGAATAGTTCAGTAGTTACTATTCGATATTTCCCATTACTAGTAGTAAGTACATATGTTTCACAAGTAGAATAGAATGTGAAGAGAAATGCATGAAGTGATATAAAGATTACTAAGTAATGATAATGTAGTGATAGATAGGGATATAAATGGACATATCGGTAATGAGAGGGTACGAAAGAATACATGGACGAAATGGTTTTAGCGAAAATGAAGCTGGAGAAAGAGTTCAAGATTTTTTAACATCTTATGATCTTGCTAAAGTTATAAGAGCCATATACTGAGTGTTTTTTTTAACACTAAAAATTCATTTCTCTTAAAATAATCATTTTTTCGTAAATTTTTTATTTTTTGCTTTTGCTAGATACATATTTATTACCATTTATCTATTATAAAAATGTTTTATGTTCTACCTCCATGTCTTATAGGAGTGTAAACTTTATATTTTTAAGTATGGCAAAACATCAGAAAAGATTGGATATAGTACCAAGATTTATGTTAAATAGTAAAAGGTGCAATAAATAAAGCAAAGTACAAGGGTTTGATAAGTTAGAAATAAAGGAAGGCAAAAAAAATTTAATAAATTATATAAAAAAGTATAGCGTACAAAACATGATGATAAGGTGTTAACAAATAACAAAATGACGAGTATGTGAAATACTATTTTGAAAATTTAATGCTTGAGGAATATCCCAGAGATGAACGAAGGTCTTATAAATTTAGTTAGTGAGAAGGAGGAATGGGAGAAAGTGAGGTCGATGAAAAATAAAAAACAGTAGGATTTGGTCAATTATTAGTGGATGTGTGAAAAATGTTAAGGAATCTAAGTATAAGGCAGTTAAAATTTTTTTTAATAAAGTCTAAATAAAAGGGAAGATTCTAAAAGAATAGAGAAAAAGTTTTGTAGAACCGATATTTAAAGACAAGAGACATAAAATTAGATATAATTATATCGGCATAAAACTTTTATCATAGATAAAGATTTGGCAAAAGATAATAGATAAAAGAATAAGTGAGACATCATTTACTAAACTAGTTTTACCTAGAAAGTCAACAATGAAGCAATTATTTTGTGCAAGACAGTTAATAAAAAGTATAAAGAAAAGAAAAACCTTTGCAAGATAGTTATAGATCTGAAAAAGAAGTATCGAGTGAGGGTTTAAAGTGGGTGTTATTGATAAAATGAGTTCCTAAAACTTTTATTGGTGTAATATAGGATATTATGTAAAGCAACTAGTACTAGGTTAAAAAGTGTATGTGGAGAAACAGAGGATTTTAGGGTAAGAGTAGGGTGTGCACCAAGGTTTTGCTTTAAGCCCTTATTTATTTTTAATAGTAATAAATTAATTTATTAAAGAAATACAAGGAGCCGTAACGTGGTGCATGTTGTTTTACAATTATAGTGTAAATAGGAAAAATTAGGGAGAGTAATGACATATTTTTCGCTATTGCCTCAAGTTTTCTCCTGGGGTGTTGTTACATGTTAATTATTTAAGCCTATAAATAATTTTTATACTTATTATTACAAGGAAAAAAATAATTAATGACTGTGATTTTATTAAGCACGCTGCAAGATATATTTTAAGATATATATTAAATAAATATAAGTCTTCAAGGGATAATATTTGAAAAGTATAAAAAAAAATAATTACAACGATATTGATAGTTAATTGTTTAACATAATAACAACACCAACAGAACACAATGCAAAAAAATATAAATTAATGGAATATAAAATATACACGTTATCAATTAATTGTAAAATGTTATAGCAATAAAGTATGAATATTATTTTTATTATTATAAGTTTCACATTGAATTTATATCCTTCTTAAACAATATTTATAAGATGGTGTCATTTAGTAAGTACAAATTACATATTTAAAAAAAAAATTGTCACACAATATCATCTATATACTATAAATAAAATCAAAACAATAAAATTTACATTACATTGCTCATATTCCCAATTACTCCTCTTACAGTTTTTTCTACAACAGCAGCAACTAAATTTGGATCAATTTGACCACCTACTTCTTTTGATTGAGATGAAGAAGATGAATCTACATATTCACTTTTACGCCATACTTGACTTGAATTGTATGACCGCCCATTATCATAAGTTTTTCTATCATAACGACTATCCCTATACCTATCAGAATAGCTACCTCGGTCATAATCATTCCAACCACCGTCATCATAATAACGATTTCGATTACTGTGATGATCTCGACTTCCTCTCGCACGGCTATTGTAGTTATGACCACTGCCGCCGCCACCACCACCACCACCACTACTACGACCACCTCTGTATCTTTGATCTTTTTCTTTAGGCATTGCAACAGAAACACTCAATCGTACATCTCTTATGGTGTGATCTTGATCAAGGGCTGTTAATGCAGCATCTGGTTTAGTAAATGAAACAAAGGCAATACCTTTAAAAGGACGAGGAACAAAAACTTCTACAATTTCACCAAATTTCTTAAAATAATCTTCGAGATCTTCTTGAGTTATACTTTCAGTCAGCTGCCCAACAAATATTTTCTTAGGGGCTTCATTTATAAAGGCATCCTAAGAAAATTAAAAATTAGTTAAATGACTAATTAATACATTTTGAAAAAATAAATATTAATAAACAATTATATTTTTAATAAGAAAATAACAATTATCTGCATTACTGCAATTAATAATACAAATCAAAGTGTTGAAACTCTACTTACCTTGATATTGGGAATTTTAATTTCACATCTTCTGCCATTAATCACATGTGAATCCAACATTGAACGAACTTGTGACTCTTGATCTTTAAAACGTATAAATCCAAATCCTCTTGAACGGCCATCAGCTGTTTTCTTTACCTAATATCCAACAAAATTATCAATGAAAAATACTCAAAAATTTATTAACAAAATAATTTTAATAATACGTCTTATAAAAGATAATCAAGCAAACCAACAAAACTTAGTCGCAATCTTACATTCCTTAAATACACTTTTTTGAAAAATTTTTTTACACTAACTTGTGCCATGCGCAGTTCACCGTATTTACTAAAGTAACTTTCTAAGTCCTCATCAGTCGTTTTCCATGGTAAACCAAGCACAAGTAAATCACGATTCTTCCATGCTGTTGATGATGCCTCAGACTTGTGTTCTTTGGATGCTCGCTCAACATCACTTTCATATTCTTCGTTTAATTTTCTCTTCTGCCCATTATCTGAACACACATTATTTTTTGACATCATTTAGCTATACCACTATGTACTTAACATTCCTCAAAATAATAAATCATTGTATTTGTATGAAATAATACAGCAGTTCCTTAAAAACAAGTGACTGGTAACTCTTAAACAAATTATTATTATTAGAGGAATAACTGATTAGTCCATTCATATTTCTAACAAATATTAAATTATTAAATATAGTTAATAAATAGAGTTATAAAAGATTATTCAATTTCGTATAACTATTTAATTATTATAATGCACATTATACTCCTTGTTCTAACAATAACAACTGACTGTATAAACCTAATAATAAAAAGAAACACTGCTAATAGATTAATAAAAGTCATTTTTGTTTATGGGTACTACTATTTCTATTTCACAAATCACTCATAAAACTATTTCTATAGATGTACCAAATATTTTAATAATTAAACATTCTTATTTTTAAATTATTTATTCTCTGATATTTTTAGTTTTTTTTTATAATAAGGATGGAAGTAGTTGGCACAATTTGAAAAACTGACTCGGTGATTTTTTTTTTTTTACAGCGACTTATATAAAATTCAATTTGACATATTAAAATAATTAGGCTATTTGATTAAACTATAATACTTTTTGTTAATATTACAAAGCATAAAAAGAACAGAACAAATGTGTTGATAATAAAATAAAGAGAATGATTTATTTAAACACTAAAAATAAAAACATTTTACTGGCATATTTGAAATTCATTCAATAAAACTTAATGTTAACATAAATTGAATCAAGAATAAACCTTAAAATTTTTATAAGTAATTGAATGGTTATGATAGTATAATCAACCCAATTTTTATTTAATTATGTTTTCAATTTATTTTGAATAAAAATACATCAGTTTTAAGTATAAGATGTATATCAACACAAGTGCTCTACTGCACACAAATGGATTTTCAGAAAAAAAAGACACATATAACTAATATTAATACATCAAAGTGAATAATCAAGAAAAAAGGACCTTTAGGTGACTAACTTCCATCCTCACTTTCATAGAAATAAATCAGTTTCTTCCCAATATTATTCTGTTTTGAGATTTAGTTTTAACTAGCCCTATTTTTGAGTTTATCTATGTTTTATTAATAGGTAATGAACTCGTAAGCATTACCTTTGTTAAAAGAACAAAAGTATACTATGTCACCCCAGCCCTCTTCGGTAGGTGGATGTAACTTTTCATCAGCCAATCGTAATGCACGAGTTCGACCATTGTCGGGTGCAACATATTTAAGACCACAAGCATCAGGATACTGAGCATGTAATGTAGATAAAAGTAGAGTGCCATCTTTTTCCAAAGGCAAGTCAACAATTTCTGCATCACCGTCATTCGTCTCTGATACTTGTACAAACGACATAATTGAGAACAACTTCGTTAAATTACCTTAATAAACAAAACCATTGATCATAAAATTACAAATTATTAATAGCTTTATATACAAGATTACTCACCACAACAAAGTATTTACTTTATAAATAGTATGTAAATATGATGAAAACGAGTTTTATAAATTAAATTGATACAGAAAGTAAATAATAATTCTACTTAAATCTATGGCGACAAGTAGTAACGTAGCAATATAAATATTAAATTGAACTTTATGTAAATTTCGGAATTAAAGGTTTAACTCTTATCAGGTTGTAAGACGCTAATGATTTCGGAGATCTAAAAACCACAGAACGCCATATTGCTTGTATACACTGCAGCCATAATTATTGAAAATCTACAATCTCCCAAAAAAATTTAACTTACAATTATTAAAAAACTCTTCTACCAATTCAATTAAAATGTCAACTATAAAATCATAAAATGTATAAAACTCATATTTAACAGAATAAAAAAAAATATAACAACTAAAACATGAATAAAAAAATCAGAAAAATATTAAATCTGTTATATTATTTTTGCAGTATGACCATATTTCAAATAATGTCATATTAAAAATACATCATAAAGTTTTCGACAGCCCAACCAGTACTGCCAAATGTACCATATACTATAATAATTTTTATGGTACACTGAACATTTGAATTTCCATTTCTAACACGTCATCTTGATGTTGTATTTAAATTAACAAATGTAATTATTGTTTCCAATTAATACAGATTGTAAATTCTGTTTTAATTAAAAAAGTAATTTCATCATAAACCAGGCAAAAAATGTATCATATTTTTAAATAAAGTACCATAATTTATTCAAATTGGTACCATTTTATTAATTTTGATGTCTGATGCTTTTTAGTTTTTTTAGTTTTAGTTATTATCGAGATGGACATAATGCCAATGCACTCAGACCTGTTGGTCCCTTGTGCGCACCTCATACCGAATTGTCTTGATTCGGTTTACCCACCTAAGTGTTATCACCAAAGTGTTAATACATTACCAACCATAAAGTCACCTCTAAAGATGACCAAAGAGTCCTGTCTTTCTGGCAAAATTAAGTATCTCTCTGGGTTTTAGGTTTTTAATATCTTCTTTTTCAGGATGTCTGATGCTTAATTAACATGTTAAATTTTTTTAATGTATAAAAATGAAAAAAAAAAAGTTTGTATATCATTTGTGTTCATTAAAATATTTAAAGGTTTAATAATTTATTTATTTAAATTTTGTCAAAAAGAATAGTGCACGATTTTAAAAATTGATCTTACAAACATGTTTTAATTTGTTCTTCCCGTAAAAGTATTCTGGAGCAACCCTTATACTAAATAATTTGCTAAAATAATAGCAACATAACTATACAGTCGTCTTTGGCACAAGTATTAACTTTTTAAAATGAAAATATGATCAATGATTAATCTACAGAGTTTTCTTCCGCAAAGAAACAGTATAGAATTACCAACAATTATGAACATCAAGTTCTTTTCTATTGTATACCATTACAGACAAAGTTAATTTCGAACTAGGTGATGATGATATTACATAGTCTTTAGAAAATTCTATTGAAATAATAATTCTTCAGCAATTTTTTAAGTAAAAAAATTATAATTTCAACTAATATAGATCTTAATCTTAAATTAACAGACTATAATAGATCTTATTTTTTTGAATATAATGCATGAAAATAAGCTATTATAGAAGTTATAAAATTTATAAGACGGAATATCCTCGACATTATTGTGATAAATTTTACTGCAAAATTTTCTTTTTAAATATGTATAATGTAGCTAGAAAATTTCAGTTGAAGGAGAGGCAAAAATATTTAGCTCTTATATCGTTTTCAAAAGAAATATTCGCGACCCTTGTTTTACCCCTACCTAGTGTATAATGTGAGACTTTTTTCTAATTTGATACACTAGAATTATTAAAATAAATGTTTAAAATCTTATTCTTAAACTATTAACATTCGATAAGTTCGTTTGATTAAGCTTTCAAGCGTTTTCGTTTTTATTAATAATAAATTTTAATGATTAAAATGACTAATTAAATATAAATATATTTAATATAAAAATAAGTTCTTGCATATATCTTGTTGCGCTATAATAAAAAGAACTTTTACTAATTGAAAAATTATCAGCATAATTTTTAATAACACACTTTGTTTTTAAGTAAATTATAAACGTAAATATATTTGCACTATTTCAAAATCATGAAAGCGTTTTAGAAAATCTTACAAGAAATTTCATAAAGTGCATCAGTGTTTTAATTGTGACAAAAATTAAAAAAAAAATTGGTATACAGATTTTTCTTAAATAATAAACTAATTATAAAAAATCCTTTAATCAGGCCTTCGTTTTTTATGTTTTCAATAAACTGTTAAAACTTCATTCGAATTCGTAAAATTATGTTTTTATAAGTGGTCATCGACACTAAGAAAGGATCCAACATATATAGCCAAACTTGGTCTACAAATTTTTTTTTTCTAATTTATGTCACACAAAATTAAAACATATAATATCTTTGTATTTATTTTATTTTATTGAATGTTTTGGCATCAATAGCTATTAGAGAATAGTAAAACTGTATTATTTGTTGTATAAAATAAATTAAACTACTGTAAAAAAAACGGTAGCACAGTGGGGTCGCGGCACAGGTAAACGTGGCATAGTTGGAACAAGTATAAATGATATCTGACAGTGATTAAAATCATTATCATAAGAAACGCTTCGATGAAAATCTGTAAATAGTGTTTAATTAAAAAAAATTGATGGATTATTTAAAAAGCAAAAGGAATTCTTATTTCTTTATTTATATCTTGATTAGTAGTTCTTAGATTTAATAGTATAATTTATGAATAAATATTTATTATAGCAATAGAATACAGTATGAATTTGATATTTAATAATTTAGTATTGTAATTTTTATAGAGAAATTATAAAAAATTATAAATTAGATATTACTTCTATGGCAAACATGTATAAAAGTTGAATTGCAGGATGCAATACTTTTCAAAAAAAAATTATTTATTACTCATAAATAAATTAATTGGTCTACAGGGAATTTTCATCAGATTCTTAATGCTCAAAGTACGATGTTTGAATACCGCCAACCGTAACAACTATTTTGCATTTTTTTCTTAATTCTTTTTAGAGGTAGAAAAAAAAATAAAAATGAATAATATTAAATAAGATTCAATCAAAATATTCAATGGATATCGAAGATCCTATCACTTTAGTCTCCCATTGTGAAAACAACTTTCTTATTCATATTAAAATATATTACTATATGGTTTATTTTTGTGTCTGTCGTTAATTTTTCTTAGTTTACACTGAGAACTGTTTTAAGCAAAAAAAAATTGAAAAAATTGTCAAAAATTGCTGATTTTTAAAATTGTAATTTTTTTGGAGATTTCCCCTATTTATGAGTAACTAGGGAAATTTTTTCAATTTTTAAGGGCAATGTTTTCATCTAGATACGATTTGTGACTTCGTATTATATAAATCCCTATATACAGAATGTTCAGTAAGCTATGGGAGACATTGGTAGATCGCTTCCCCGCAGTGTACCCTGGGCAATGTCGTTGACAGCTAAAGATCTACCACCACAGGCTGCTAAACTTTTTAGCACCCATTATTATTTAACTTGTATACAAAAGATCTCCCTTTAACAAGTTTGAGAAAATTTATCTATGGAAATGATATTGCATAAGCTAGTCAGAATAATGTTTTTGAGGATCTTGAAAATACATTGACTAGTGACCTTAGACAGCTAAACTCATATTTCAAACGCTAGAGACTTAAACAAAACCCGTTAAAACCAGAAGTGACTGTGTTTCATCTGAATAATAGAATGGCGAGCCATAAAATAAATGTCCATTTTGGTGAACAGAAAATAAAAAATAGATAAATACTTACGTTTAAAGAACACATCGACAGATTATCAGCAAAAGTTAAGACATGTCAGAGCATTATAGCCAAGTTGGCTGGTTCAACATGGGGAGCAGATGCAAACACATTACGAATAAGTGCTCCATTTCTTGTTTATTCTACAGCAGAATACTGTTCGCCTATCTGGCTCAACAGCGCACACACGGACAAAATAAATAAACAACTCAATATAACAATGAGGACAATAGGCGGACTGACAAAATCAACACCATTAAAATGGCTATCGGTTATCAGTACTATTGCTCCCCCAAAATTACGGAGAGAGAACAATCTCTTACGGAAGTGGTACAAATACACCAGGAATCCTAACCTTCCAATACATAAGGATCAACCCATATCAGAGGATATTCAACGACTGAAGTCCCGAAAAACACCGCGGAGAACCACAAGGAAGCTCATACAAGAAAAATTTGATATAAATAACAGATGGGAAGATTGGATATCAAAAAACTCCGATGTGCGTAACACACCCCACTGCCAGACAAACAGGATTTGAGTTGACAAGGAAAATTTTGACTACACTAAATTGCATTAGAAAGGTCATGGTAGAAGCGGTCACATGTTTAAATGGAGACTGCGTGATTCTAAAGTATGCGACTGTGGACGCAAATCACAGACAACCAGCCACATCATTAACCAATACCCACTGCGAGCATTCGCCAGTATCATACACTATATTCATCAAGTAAGAAAAGAAGCGGTTAAGTGGATTGAGGACCTGGATATTGCATTATAACTACAATTAATATAATTACCAAATTTTTAACTTTTTAATTATTATTATTGTTTTTTTTGTGTCAATTATTTATTTATTTGTTGAACTATTTGTAATTATAATAGCTAATAAGATAAATTGTGTTGCTCATTTAATGTCATACGAAATATATATAGTAAGCAATGAAACGGGTTTCTATTGCTCTCATAGTTTATATAAATTGACCCGTTCCCTTACTAAACAAAGACTCTATATATTGAAAAATATTATTTCAATGATAATTAGCTAATAACATTAAGGACTAATCAGAGAGTTCATGTTTTTTTCTTTCTTAAAGTTATGTTATGATAAAAATTCATTATTTTATAACTCATTTTAGTTTCATTTATAACTTAACCCAAAAATACCAATATTTTAAAATTAAATATACATTATATTTATTAAAAAATGTGTTTTTGTTACAAAAATAGGCACATCAAGTTTCTACTAAAATTATAAGTTTTTATAAGTGTATTTATATTAACCTATCAATATTTTTTGTCGACAAACTCTATACATCTATAATATAAGTGATTATATATTCATGAATCACACGTTTTATTTAAAAATATAAAATATAATATAGTTTTATTTTCAAAAGGTAATAGTATCCCAGAATCTATAATTACCAGAAAACAATTTGATCATATCCCATTATTTCCTCTTTAAACTAGTATCAGTTTTAGTTTTTTAAGTGGAAACAAACTTGTGTGATCAACTTACAAACTAGAATATGATCTATTTAAAAATATAACTAGTCAATAATAATTTGTACTAGTGTTTAAAAATATTAGCATTTAATAACAAGGAGGTTGGAGCAGTGCAGTATATTAATTCCTAGATATAAAAATAAACATACTCAGGTTTTATCATCAGCATTAAATTTTAAAGTTATTAAAGTTTAAAATACTGGTCGTAAGTTTTTATCGACTCATTATTTTCTAGTCAGTATAATGGTTAATTACATAAATTTCCATTTAAAAAGCTAATGTAATAAGATTTTAAGGGGATAAGAGAATATAAAGATTTTTTTTTTTTTAAATCATAGAACGTTATTCGTATTAAAAACAATAAATAATATTATATTTTATATATTTGATGATATTGAATGAGCCTTACTTAAACAATCACCTTGTAAATAAATATAAGGTATTTCAATTTCACTGCTAAAGGTAAAATATTTTTTATCTGTTTTGCAAAAAAAAAAACTTTTAAGTTCTTAAATAAAATGAATGGGATTGCACATATAAATACATACAATTTCATAACTATTGATATAAATTAACATAAAATTATATGATATAATCAATATAACTTAAGAGCATTAATATTAAGAGCACAGTCTTAACAATATTACAATTTCATATTTAAAAATAAAATGTACATTTAGAGTTAGTAAAATTATTTTGACTACAATTAAATCAAAATAACTGATCATTATAATGTAATAATAAATTTAAATATAATAATGTAAATTTATTTCTCTAAAATATATATTTTTAATTTATAATAAAAAATTAAACTTTAAACATACAAAAGTACAATTAAAAAATATTATAAACATGAAATTATAATCCAACATAACTGTTGAGCAAATTTAATTAATTAATCAATAATAATAATAATAATAGTTATAGTACAACAGATTATAAAAAACAAACCTGTAATTTCATACATATAAATATACATTTATACTTTATTTATTTTAAATAAAACATGTATATTTAGGGACATTAATTTGATATAATAATTGTTTTAGTATTAAACTTTTTTATTTTTTAAACTTAAAAGCAAATAATAAGTTTGATATGAAATCAAATTGTTATTGTGCCAATAGTATGTGTTTGCTGCTATAAACGCTCCACACAAAATGGATTTTCGTTTGTAGCAAACACTTAAGTACAAATTTGTTATTTTCAAATATTTTTTGATAATTATAATATATAAAAATACATAATAATATAAACTTAATACTGTCAACAATATAAATAAAACGTTTTTGCTTTCAACATTCAACAAATATAAGGACGGTTAAAAATTATTGCTTTAGGTTTAAGGCACTCATTGTTTTAATCAGTACAAAAGTTTTATAGTTGTCTAATTATATTTTAAACACACATATCTATAGTAAATTAAAAAACATAAAAATAATTATAAAAGATATGTAAAGTCTAAAGAAAAAATTTACATACTCGGTAATTTTTCAGATAGTAAGTAAAAATGTGTTTGATGTTGTAAAAATATAAATCAAACTAATGCTTAACTCAAATTTTCAGTTTATAAAAATAAAAAGTTTATATACTGTCTTGTTAAATTTTTAAACTTTTACATTTTCACAAAAAAAAAAAAATTGTTTGATTGATAATTTGTGAATTAAACAATAGTTATTAATATTTTGCACAAGTAGTGAAAATGACAAATAATATTATTTTCTACAAAAATATATATATTTTTTAACTTTATCATTTTCACTTCATGTTCAAATAAATCAACCCCAACACATACTTTTTCACTTTGTCCAAAATTCTTAGACTAGGTTAATGGGCTAATCAATCTCATACATAAAATAATTCTAATACACATATAATAAAAAATTCTCAAAGCCAAGTTAAAATGGACCCAGGTTTGTTATTAGGATCTATTAGTGATTGTACTTCATCTAGAATATCACTGCTAAATTCGTCTCCTAACTAAAATGGAAAAAATGAATACAAAAATATGTATATTAAAATTATAATTATTCAATCAGTAATATGAAAAATTAATACTTACTTGAAGTGATGGAACTAAATCATCTGTAACATCCAGTGAAGCCATCTCTTGGGAATCTACTACAGACATATTTGATGATGGACCTGGATTATCACTCTCTAAAATATGACATTATTCACAGTTAAATTATAATTTTACTATTGAGTCAATATTTATAACTACCAGAAGTGCAATCCATATTATCATCCATATTTGAAGATAAAAAGTCTTCTGGAGTGTGAGGCAATGAGTAATTGTTTCCTAAACCCAAACCACTGTCAGCTGACTCTTGTCTTGAGTGATCAATATTACTGCTGCTACACGATAGGAACGGATCGAGATCATTTGTTGTTTGTCCCGAGCGTAACATCAATTCTTGCTATAAAATTTATTTTTAATTGAATAAATGATAAAAATTAAAAATTAAATTTTTTTTAACGGTTATCATTACCTGACGAATAATTTCTTGTTGGCGAATTTTTAAACGTTCTCGCTCTAATTGTAAGGAGTGTAGTCTGAGCTTTTGTTGGGTGACTTGCAAAGATTGAGATAAGCCAGATGCTCCATTACCATTTAACAACCACGATGCAGATCCCGAAGGTAATACTGCACCTGACGTGGGAGCTCTTTGAAGATGAGCGGCTAAATAATACATTTTTAGACGTAAAATTTTGTTTAAAATCAAAGCCATATATGACGAGGGTCTATAAGATTTAGACGCCCCCCATTCTAAATAGACATATATATTTATTGGTGGCCTACTTAGCTCAGTCAGAAACGCGTCGTACATAGGTACCGAGGTTCGATTCCGTTGCACTGGTCTATGTAGGTTTTCCAGTTCTCTTTAATAGAAACGTGGTTTTTCAAAAAGGACCAGGTTATAGATAAATAAATTTTATGGAACCTCCCCGAAAAAATATTTTGGATACGGGCCTGTTTATAATTAGTATAAATATAAATGACTTACGTATTCTGGGATCAAACCATGATGTGGTTCTAGCTAAGTGATTAATAAAATAAGTTTCACCATCTACAGTGATTGCTTGTTCCCATCCTTCAGGCAATGGACCTAAAGTTACGTTTTTATTTGCACCTAGTAATATATATAAAGTTAGAGAAATATTTAACAACTATGAATAGTATTGAGTCATTCAAAAATAATCAGTAACTAGATCATTACAAAAAATATTTCTAAGAATCAATTAAATGTTAGTTCATTGAATAATACAAAGGGATTTAGTAAATTTTCGATTAAATAAAAAATATTATTGATAATGATTTTTTGAAGGGAAAAAAATTTAAATAACTTACAGCAATAATAAAACTAGAAGAAAAATTGTCTATGAAAAAGAGGTGGTACCTTTTTTGCCTTTCCCAATAACCCACTACTGCAATACACAGCCTTTCATATTGAGTTTTTTATTGTTATTATGTAAAGTTACCTTAGGAACGCATGTATGACTCAATGCTTTAATTAAATTTTATCTAATTTATAAAATTAAAGTTCTGTTATTTTAAAATTTGATGATCTACTACATTATTTAAAAGCTACTAATATTGTACACTAATTTTCCAAGTAGATGAAACATACACGCATCAAATAACTAGACTTGCCCTATTCGTGGTTCACTACTGAACAGGAACTAGAAAATTTAAACTTTTTTTTCTTTAGACCTAAATTTTAACTGAGAAAAATAAAATAAATTACCCTGAAGAGTAGAATGAATATGTGGCGGTGAGTTTGTAGGAGTGCTGGTTGTGTTGGTACTCGATCCGCTATCATTACCAGGACTTAACAATTGCTCTGCGCTACGTTGATGTTGGTTCGCCGTTTGAGCCGCTAAGCTTTTTCTCGGATCTTCCCATTGTGTAGTTCTAGTGAGATGACTGCAAATTAAGAAAATTACAATAATTAATTTATTGAAATATTATTTGAAAATGCTTAAAATATTATAATTTAAAACAGGAAAAAATATAGCTTGGTGTAGCTATACGACTGATAATATTTTTAATAAGAAATATTAAACTACGCTTTTTATTTGATTCAGACATCCCTATCGACATTGATAACCATTATAAATTATTATAAAAATCAATTCTAAATAATCTGTGCTAGTTAAACTCCATACAATGATTATTTATACATAACTGTTAATTGAAACTACTAGATTCGGTTCTCATAGTCTTAAAAGTATGTACATATGTACATACACAACACAAATACAGATAATCAGTTAATATTTTATTTTATAACACATCTTAAGTGTTAATACAAAATAATATTTATTACAAACAATTGTTTATAATATACACTGATTATTATGTATACAAGCAAACTATGACATAATTTATCGTGTAGTTTTCATGGATTAACAAAACCATAATAATAATATACAACGCAGAAAAGAGTTTGTAATCAGGACATTATATTGTTGTTAGCTATTATAGCGATGCCAATTGCAATCGATAATAAGTAATGAGCAACCTTCGACGAGAAACCTTATCTCATCTACTTATTACTGTCGCTGTGTACACATAATAAAAAAATCCTAAAAAATCATAAGAGCTTATCATATAGTTTGTTATTCGAGTAGGCATTTCCTTTGTAGATAATGAAAAAGATATCGATTTTTCTTTTCCTCGCAAGTTTGAATAAAATTTATGATAATATGCAAAGAAATTTACTATGCGATCGACAAAAACTAAAAGAAGGCTCGAGATAAATATTCATAATACCTCCCTGTCTATACACAATTTTCGAGTAAGGTACAGCTCAAATATTGTAAACAAGAGAAATTTTAATTTCATTAGAACAATATTTAGAATGATCAAGACTATAGTCACTAGTCTGTTGTCATCGAAAAAGCATATCACAGCAAACTAGTTTAACCGAAAGCGAGCTACTATTTAAAAGTGCCACCGAAATCGTGCCAATTGCCCATGTGAACATTTACTATAACACACGCCTGACGTTGCGTGACGCGACACCCATTAAATATTTAATAATACTCTAGAAACACGTTTGCCACCATTGCCGTTCGTCGTTGCTTTATGCATTCTTGCTACAAACGACTTGCAGTTATTACTCATTACAATATTATTGTTTATACTGTTTTTATTGGCTATTATAAACATCGTTGCAACGGCAATGTGTGGCCGACCACAGCGGCGGTCAGCACTCACTCAATCGGCCATTAACTTAAAACCGGTCCGGTGCTGATGCTTTTCGATTAATGCAGAAAAACATTTTCCAATGAGCCTGTTATACCTATTGTACCGTTGTAATTATCAAAAATATTTTTCTCTTTTATTACTCTTTGATTATTAACCTTCTATGATATCGAATTATAATGATTAATTGAAAATTATTACAAAAAGTATAACTCATAATATGGCACAGTAGATATTCTGAGAAGTTAGGAGCATGCCGACGGCAATTTCCAAATTTAAAAATCAAGATAATAAACGGGGTGATTATCATAAGCATAGGTATTCTTTTAGCTAAACACGAGTATTTAGCGGCGTATATAATAAAAGAAACATTGAATCATTGTTGCATCATTTCACCTTAAGATAGATCTGAATGTTCAAAAAAACATTAGGATTATACAAAAATGATAAGATTATAAAATACACCTACATACGGTCGTAACATTGCTTTAATGAATTTACAATAAAAATAATAGTAATCAAGATCCAAAGATCAAAATTTGTATCAGGTAGCAGTAATAAAAAAATAATAAACTGTAAAAAGACAAGCCCCTCCTCTTTTGAACTTCTGATCGAATTCAAGTTACAGACTTCTCTTAATCTACTCATGTACTATGAACTTCAGAGAATACGTTTTTAATTGATGTTACATTTAGTTCTATCCAATTAATAATAAATCAATAATTAGCTTCGTCTTTTAATAATTTGTGTTCAATTACATAAATTAATCTATAATTAAATAACTGATTTGTCTCAAAACATGTACCAACGAATACTAAGACCTTTACCTTATAAGGTTTAATTTTTATGATTCATTTGCGTGCAGTTATCGAGTATAACTTTAATTACATATTTCTCTGTTGTTGATAATCAATAATTTATTGTTAGTTTTGAAAATCATATACAACTTAATCATTATAAAATTATGACTTTGCTGACGAAAAAAATACCCAAAGTAAATATTAAAAGCCTTGAGTATACTTAGAAGTAAAATTAAAATTGTTTGTCAATTTTGTTGAAATAAAATGCAAAATGAGCATTTAAATAGTTTAATTGCACACGACTATCATGACAAAAATAATGATAATATCGCCGATATTCCCACGTGTTTCTATTTGAAGGTGTTTACTGTGGCCATTATTGCACGAAAATGATTTACAATTACAACAGGAATAAAAAAGTTATAATAAAATAATCGATAATATTGTGATATTAAAGAGCTTTGTTTTGTAATAAATAACATCTATAGTCAACCTAACTAACATAAGTTTTGCTACAATTGCACATACACACATACACATAATAAAAAATTCAAGCAAGTTGACTATTCACTGTCACTTTTTTTTATATTCAGACTATTACTTCCATGACTCATTTACAACACTAGATACATGTTATTTTATCGAGTAACAACATTTTCCTATTTGGTAGTTATCAGAGTAACTTTTTATAAATTTTGAGGAGTGCCAAAGTAATTTTGTAATAGGACTATATAGTAGCGAAAAATATTTGTCACTTCAGGAATAGAGATAAACTCCCTAATCCTTCAAAAAATATAACCTCGATATCAATACATTTCTAAGATTTCAAGTCAAGTTATAAAAATTTTAAATGGTTGGTGGTTGTGTTTAAAATAACTTATAAAATTTATAAATCTCTATAAAAGTTTAGTTATCACTTTTTACTAAACTAATAAGGAGAATACCAATTTTTAGCAACATTTGAGGCGTCATAACTAACCCACACTAAAATAAATTAAATGTTAATCTAAAAATGATCGGTAAAATAAAACAATTTTTAAAATATTAATTGCATTAGCAACTTACAACAACTGCGACGCTGATACTACGCATCTAAATTATTTATATCCTTTTATATAAGGTTATCAATTAGTTTTAGTAGCTAACTTTTTTTTACATTGGGTAGGTTAAGATCTGTAATGCGATTCACTTAAAAACTAAATTACAGAATTTATAGATACTCAATATAAAACATTACAATAATAATTCAAGCTAAAGTTCAGTGATACATTTTTCTAAAGAAGCCACTATTCTATTTAAATGTTGGGGTTTATTTTTTCATTATGCTTAGCAAAATAATGTAAAAATATTTTTTGATCACGAAAAGTGAAATTAACATGATTATTTACAACTACCATATTGTTGGTCAGAAAACTATTGCGACGTTTGTTTCTACGTGTGTTATCATGAAATACTTCATTAGTGACTTGACATACAACAGGAAAAATGTTTTAAAACAATTAATTAATATTATATAATATAATATATATGATAAACTAAATCAAAACGCATGTTATACTATTGTACTTATACTTTAACTTCTTTTTCTAATTGATGCAAAATTTCAAACTTGACTTGATGTTTTTATTATTTTAAGTCAACAGGTTGAACATTTTAACAGGTTGATTATCAAGTAATTGGAAAGACTGAAAACAAAAACTTGTAAATTATTTACTTTTAAAAATTCTTGTTTTTAATTATTTCCCTTACGTTTAATGTTAGTCTTTCTGAGATTTAAAATAATGTTCTTACAAGTAATACAAAATATGTTGTTTTTAAAAATTAATTTTGATTTTTTTTAATAATGTTATTAAAAACCATAATCAAAAAATATATTTTAAATACGAAAAATATCAGTAAACAAAACAATATTTATCATGGGTATTATCGAAAACAAAACAAAAAACTACCTAGGGTCTGGATTATATGCGCTATAAATTTTGATAACTTATTACAAACACATTATCGTTCAGTTAAAAATTTGTATATAATATAATATATATAATCGTCAATTATCAAACCAATCTGTTTAAAGAAATAAAAATGTTCAAATACAAAACTCACTTACCGTGTAATTAATCAAATTAAAATACCAAACTGATTGAGCAGTATTATCAGTAATATGATAGCGAATATTAAAATGCATTAAAATATAACTTTATACTGATAGTGTTAATCTCAATTACCTAATGTCAATACTTAACAACTCATAAAAAATACTAATTCAAAAATTAATTAATGAAGAACAAAACTGAATCTTGGTAGATAAAACTTTAAAAAAATGTATATGTATAATTTATCATATTATTTGATGGACAAAAATATTTACCATATTAATATTAGCATGATACCCGCGTGTTATACGTGTGTTGTTTACCGTATACGGTCAATGTCCTAATAGAAAAATATAAGTAAGATAACAATTTAAAATATCATTATACACAACGTACACAAAAAAAAAAATTATAATTCGATTAATTCAATAGTAATACGCAGCATCAAATTATAAAATGTCATTTAAAAAGATCAAAAATTGTAAAATAATTAGGATGATACAAACTAACAAACATGGGCTTAATTATTGATTCAAAATTGATGAACAAACAGGTTTATACAAGTTAAATATAAAATTACAATATTTTTTTTGCAACCTGAAAAATGTTTTCTTATTGAAAAATTACACATAAAATGACAAATACAAGGTGATTCTTTTGGTAATAGCTCATTGAAATTCTCTTATTGAATTGAAATTCTCTTAAAATAATAAGTTAGAAAAAATTTTTTTTTTGCTTTTGTTAGTTACATATGTAATTCCTCTAATCTGTTATAAATTTTTTTAATGGTTATTCCATATGTATTATAGGGGTGTCAACTTTA